ACTTTGTCGCACCAGTAATTAAGGTGTCGCACGTTTGGAGGGAGGGGATCGTTTGTAGCTTGTTTTGGGGTATTTCAGCGTTAATTTCGGTGACCCGCATGTGTCACGTTTTTCGGGAGATAGGTTCAGAAATGCAGGTTACGGCTTCAAGGAAGAGGAAGATCCAAAAGGCGTTACTGGGGAGAACAAGAAAATGTTTGTCAGACTCGTTTAAAAGTAGTGTTTTAGAATAAGGTGCAGTTACGAGATCCGGGTTGTTTTGGTCACGCCGAGGGACCGCTTGTGCACGTTGTGCAGGGTTTTAGCGTGGAGCAGAGAGTAGGCCTCAGTGAGCCCAGTTCTGGTGTGAAACAACCATAAATGGGGGGGGAAACAGAAAAAGAGGTTTTGGGCGCTGTGAATTTGGAATTGTACTTTTACCGGTAACATCTTTCAAATACTAATTTGCAGAAAGTGGCTTAATGTAAATGGAGAGTGATTCGGAACTACAACAGCACCTGCAGCACTGAGGAGCCTGCCAGGGCTCAAATTATCCTTTTAGCAGGATAATCTGGACCTTCATCTCTTGGGGAACGTGTTGACTTCCAGATTTCAGGGTGAACATTTCATAGATCAGTAGAAACCATTTGTCATCAGATGGGTTACTGTCGGAAGAGGCAGAATTTCAGAAAACAAAAACGTGGGTTTGCCTGGGTTTTCTTTCAGTTTTCTTTAGTTTTGGTGGCTGAAAACCAGTTTAGATACTTGTAAATAAAAACTAGCGAGTGTTTAGTGAGGGCTGTAAGGTCATCTCTGTGCATGTGTTTTAAAGTAATAGTTCAGCTGTTGCAGATTCTAACAGTAGCTGTCATGAGTTGTGGACAGTCTTTAACACAAACTCACTGGTGAAAAATAAAAATGCTCATGTCCCTGTTATTGTTATATGTTTACTTCATAAGATGTGGGAAATAAAAAAACAAGTACCTTGAAAGTATTCGTAATATTTTCGCATCATATTCAAATAACAACAAAGGAGAGCTGCTAAATATTCTAACGGGTTTATACTGTGCTTTGCTGGCCCCATCACTGTACCTGTGCTTGCCCCTTCTGCCACGAGCCGTCTCACTGTAATTAGTGGCACTCTCCTTGGTGGTGAAGTTAAACGTACACATAAGTGTTGGTGAGAATCGGGCCTCAACGAATAGCCCAGTACAGAAATAGACTTACTCAGAAATTTAGATGTAATACTTATTTTTGGTTCACTGGTGTATCTGATCCAGAGAATCCAGGTATGTCAGTACCAAACTTGTGTGCGTTTATATATAGCAAAATGCAACAACTACCTACCTCCATTCTTGGCCTAAGCCAAGTGAAGATTTTGGCTCCCAATGCTTACAAATGTAAGATGTGGTTCAGAGCTACAGCTGAAATGTTCTTATTAATTAGTCCGAATGGAAATATGACTATAGCATATACTGCTCTTCCTGAATAATTCTTAGCTGTGAAGAGGACCCAATCTTTACCTTAACCTGAGATACTCATTCTTGATTAGTTTTGCCACCTGTTTTTATTGCATAGTGCAGTATGCCTAAAGAGAGAGACCATGTATGTAATAAAATAGTAGTTTAGGGGGAAAATGATGCTTGCATTAAGAGCTGTAGATAAAAACTGTTCTCTCAATGCTTACAAAACATCAGTGAGCGAGGAGAGGGAAAAGGAGTAAAGGCCCTGGTGCTGAGGTGGCAAAACGTGCAAGCAGGTTTTATAGAGAGAAGAGCAGGAATTCATGAGGGAGAAGGAAAGGAAGGGAGAAAGCAGAGGGCGAAGGATTTGTCAGAAAATGAACTTTGAAATATAACTATTAAAATACAGTTTTGAACATGAAGCTCAAAATGGAGGCTTGTGCTGTCAGTGTGTGCTAGCAGAGGCCTGACATCCTATAAATACAAACTGTACCTCTGTGCCTGTTCCACCACAGCCACACGTTTCTGTTGAGACATAGGCCCATGAGAACAATAAACGAGTAGCCAGGAGATGTGAAAGGGAATCTTTCTAAATTTTGCCAGGTTACAATACTACTCTCAAAAAAAAAAAAATATGTTTGCTTTATATAGAAAGCTACCGATCTGGCAGTGTGGAGCAGCTCAATTAAATGCTGCTGTTTGAGTCTTTTTAGCGTGCATGGAAAAATGGGTACTATAGGCAGATGGGTTGCCCTGTGCACTGGCATCCGTGCAGCACAGCAGAAATAGCATACATCTACTTATGGAAACTGGAGTAAAGTGGAGTGGGGTTTTTTTGTACTGCAGGGTATATAAGGGAATCAAAAGAGAGCCGTGGGGGGGCTGTTTGGAGCATGCAGCCACAAAAGGTGGTCTTTGCGTCTCATTGCGTATGTGATTGATTTGGAACATGTACAGAGGGTGGGAGGTTGCTTACAAGACACAAATTAGAGAAGGAGGTTTCTGTAGCTTTGTGGGTGGAGGCTTAAAGGGATGCCTTCCTTTTTCAGATGCGAGTATCCACGTATTTTATTTCTTGTGATTTAAGTTGCAGTCTTTTGACTGGGTGATGTTAACTGCAGCCAAACTTAAAATATTTTAGGGCTCTAACAAAAAGGCTTTCGTTTAATATGGACTTCAATCGGTCTTTCTCTTCGTCAGATACTAGTGACATGGCAAGCAGATTTTAACATTCCGTCTTGTTCTCTATAAAATGTTGAAGTTGTCCTTTTTCCTTCCAAACCCCACAGTCTGCATTTAACGTTGACACTGGAAAAATGGACAGTGGAATGATCCAAGATTCAGATTTGACACATGACTTGAGCCGGGCATTTATTTTTAGCTACAACTGAAGTTTCCAGTGGCAATTATATCTTTTTCTTTCACTTTTCACTCTTGCACTGAGAAAACCAACTTTCTCGTTTTTACCCTGAAGAAAAAATTCTAACGTGTCCTTTAATCACTCATGCTTCCTTCTGAAATTGATTTACTTTCATTTTCTAGGTGCTGGTGAATCCGGTAAAAGCACAATAGTCAAACAGATGAGGATCTTGCACGTGAATGGATTTAATGCTGAGTAAGTGCATTTGCTTTTCCCCTTTACAACCTACGTTGTGTCTGTGTGCTGCACAGTAGTCAGTGCTGCTGGTTTGTATCTTGGTGTATTTTCTTCTTTCTATTGTTTCACAATCTCTAGAATTTGGATGTGTGTTTTTAGATGAGATTAACAGGCATTAACTTGAAGAAGTCATGCACCAATAATAAGTGAGAGCTAATGCTATAAAACGGTCTATTTCAAGGTATAGGTGATTTGATGAAGGCTTAAGTTTTGTGGGTTTGTTGTTTTTTTTTAACTGCAGTTTCTTTCACAACATGGCTGACACTGATTTACCTCTGCTGTAGCACATCGATTCATACTGCTGTGAACATACCTCCTGTTAGTGTACAAAATGAACACATTTTTCTTTATTTAGAGCAAGTAAGGCTTGTCTTTGTCTCCTCGCAAAATGAGACTGTAGTAAGAATTTTGGGGGTAATAGGTCAGGGTTTTTTTCCTGTTGTGTTTGCTCGTCCAGATGTTGGTGTTAAATTATGTTTCCAAAAGCGTTTCTTGTTACACTTAAAATCTGTTTAATTATTTGATTGTTGTGAGGAGAGGAATGACTTTAGGATAGGGAAAATGGAGTATTTTTTTTTTTTTTTTGTCTAAGAAAGATTTGTGTTTGTTAACTTTTCAGCTAACCTCGCTAGGGAGCAGGAAGAGATTCTTTTGCACATTAAGTTCATGCATGCGAGCATCTCTGTGTGTGTGTGTGTGTATACCAGAACCTGCTAAATTAATTCTAATTGAATGTTGGAATTTCAGAGCTTATTCTATGTGTTGATTTTTTAAAAATTATATTACTGGTTTTGTCTTTCTTGTTTTCAATCATAGTATTTTTGTACTGGCATCCTCTGCCTTCTAGTAGTATAATCTATTTTGTGAATCTTGCCTTTTTGGGAAGATTAAGCTTTTCACAGTTAGGCCTTCAGCAGTTGATTCTTTTGTAAGAATGTCTGAACTAAAAGTATAGCCAAGGAGCCTGGACAGTTCTTCTTCCTAATCCCCAAATGCTAGTTTGGGAGAAGGTACACAGTCTTTTGGAAGAACGTACAGACTGATTCCTAACAAATTACATCCTGTGTTACATGTTTTTAGCCATTCTCTATAGAGAATATTTTCTTTATCCTAGACAACTCTTTTTTTCATAAGTGCCCAGTCCTGTGTCCTCTTACTGCTGAGTTGTCTTCGTTATTTTGGCAGCTGTGGTTACTGAAGATCTCTTAAAAGACGTGTGTGACTTGAAAGATTTACGTGAGTTGACTTTGGTGTAGCAGCTCTCAACAGCAGGTGCTAAGTAAAAAGTTCATCAGTGAAAGTGAAAGTCAAGTATCCCTGGCACTTTTAAAAGTATCGGTCCATTTAACCAACGCAGTTCTAAGTTTTCTAAGCACACCGGTGCTTTTAAATAGGTACTGCTGCTGTGTAATGAATGGTGTATTTCATGGTTAGATAACCTGCTCAACCCTGCAAGCTGCATACCCAAATCTGTGCAGAACTGGGAGCCCAGAGACCCGTTATACAAAGCCTGCAGAGCTGGGGATGGACTGGGACACGCTCTGGGATCTGTTCCTCGAGTATCTCACTTCTGTGTTGTAGGCTGGGGCTGAGCTGAGCATGCAGTGGGATTCCAGGGCACATGACAAATGTGGCCTCAGGAGCCTCTGCTGGCTTTTGCCTTCTCATAGCAAGGGGTTTGGATTACCTAGCAGCCTTGCTGCCAGTCACATAGCATACCCCAGTGTGGGAGCCATGGCTGAGTTGGGGAACTGCGTGCAGCTCAGGAAACATTGTCTGTCCCCCCCATGGCATCTTGTCTTGCATTCAGTCCTCTGTGCTTGTCCTTTCGTGGGTAGTCTGTATTGGAACATTCAGGTACATAAAAATCGAATTTAAAAGTGGTATATATAAAAAGTACAAGAAGTAAATTATAATGCATCTAGGTTTAGGGTTTTGTTGCCAAAAATAATCAGAAGATCATAGTATATGCTTTATAGGGGCAGAAGGTTGTTTTTCAGTGTTTTGAAATTCATGAGTTATGTATTAGTACTTAAGTGACTTGTATTTTCTTCAAAGTAACTAACTGCTTCCACACACTGTCCTGCTTTTCCTGCTGTCCTTTTTGCCCACCTCATTCCCTTTTACTCTACTTACCTTGTGGAAAAATGATGTGGGATTCATGAGAGAGAGAGCATGGAAGGGTTTTGGAAGGGATTTTTTTGAAGGGTAAATAAAGCATTACTTTTCTTAATGTTCTTATCAGTTGTTCTATAACATAAACGTGTTTGCACACAACACCACAGCCGATGTGATCAATAACAGCAGAGAGGTTGTGAAAACGGTAGTATGCCGGAGATGAAAGGAAATTTTTTAATGTTAGTGTCCACATACATGACTGTAGTTTTGAATTACTCTGTTGCTGCAGCTTATTCATGTGGCTTGAAAAAAAAACCAGTCTAAAGTTCTGTCTAAAACTTGTTCACCTTTGATTTGGTTGCCCTGTGATAATTGATGTTTGAAGCAGGAGGAGGATACGTGTTATGAAATATGTCTAATGTGCTACGAACAAGGGAATCAAATTTTTTTAGTGTTACTCAGATACTCTTCTGGGTTTCTAGTGACTAAACAGGATATCCAGGGCTAAGTGCGCTAGCTTCCTTCAGTCAGTGTGAGGGGCTTTTATTTGTTTTGGTTTTGGGGTTCTGCCCCTAAGTAGATGAAGGGAGAGTTGTCATATGTGAGTGAATCATTGTAGCATTTAGCAAGGTGAAATCTATGTAGTGCTACAAAACTAGAAGAATTTCCTCTGGGACTCCAATCCCTGATCACTTTAGCTAATTAATTATTTGAGGAACTGTATGGAATCAAGTGTTCCAGGTAATTAATGTGCTTAATAGTTACCAATGCTAAGGTGAATGTGAAGGTGGTTAAAGTTCTAGGCAAGTTAACTACAGTAAAGACTGTTTAAACATTTTTCAGTGTTCCTTTTATAATCTGTAGTTGTGTTAAAGACAGAAATGCCTGGTTGGTTTTTTCTTCGTTCATGTTGTGAAGGTGGCGTGTGGGAAGTAACAGCACTGTGACATTGGTAAGCAGAGTAGAATATTGGAGAAGCAAGGCATGTTTTACCCCACAGGTTTTTCTGGATGGAGTTTTTGGAAAGGCATAGCCCACTTCACAGGATGGCTTCAGTTGGCCATGCTACCAACTGACATCTTCCTCCAGCAATTTCATAAATAGTGGGAATGTGGCTTCCCCACAGTGCTCTTCCAGTGTTCCTCATTTCTTCACATGGAGGAGCTGCCTTTTAAGCATAATGAAGACTCCATATCAACCAAATTTTCTACTCTGCATTACTGCCAACGACAGAGCCCCTTGTGATATAGAAGGGGTTTAAATATGGCTTGTAATAGCAGGAAGCCTTCCTTTCCTTCCCTCCCTCCTCAACACCATCTTTTCATGGGGCTATTCCAGAGGAGTAGGTCTCTGCTGTTGCCTATTGCATTTTGTGTGCATTCACTGATTAAGTGGTGCTAAAACCTTCTCTTTCTGACTGCAGAAGTTCAGATGTCAATTTTTATGAAAGGATTAAAAATGGGAAAGGGGGGACAGGAGGAGTAAGACATATAATTGGAAGAATTAACATGAATGTACAGTTCAGGTTGAAGAGGGGAAAAAACCCCTCCTCTGTGTTAAGTCTTGAGGCTGGAATTCTTTGCTTCTAAGGTGATGGCCTTTCACTGACTTTTTTAAGTCATCTTTCCCCTCTGTGGGTTTGACTGACGAGCCCTAAAGAGAGCATCGTTCTCATGCATGAGTTCAGAAAGTGGGACATTGGCGAGGCCAAGAGACAATAAGTGTCATGGGGAAAACTGGGACAAGCAGAAATATTTAGATAGAAATAAATTGTCGAAATGTGGCTTATGAAATCCACTTACAAGATTGACAAATAAGGGGAATGTGCCTTTGTGATTAGTAAGTTTGGATAGTATTTATGATTCAGGAAGTCTTGAGTTTATAGGGAATTGTAGATAATGCTTCTCGGCCTCAGTTTCACAAATGACATTGTGTAACAATGAGACTATTTCTTAAACTAGTATGTTGTTGAATAGGAGTTCATATATTTATCAAATCTATTAATGATAATGATGGAAGCAGAACTAAACAGCTTTGTTTTCAGGATGTAGATGACAAATATATTCTCATTTGTCTTGAACTTAAAAAAATATTTTCTGTTAGTGGTGAAGTTAAGAAAGCCAAGTCGCCCTTCTAAAGTTTTGAAACTTTCTCTCTTTTCTTACCTATATTTAGTAATGTACAAGGAAGGAAAAGTAGTCACTGATGCTTTCTAATCCTTCTGTATGTCTCATCCACCAGAAGTTGAACTGCAGTACCATTATTTCACAGAAACCACCAAGTTACGGTATCTAGTCACACTGGTCAGTGTCAATCTCTTCTGTCGCTGAAATGAATTCTGTCTTAGTAACTTGAATATTCTACTCCTGGATACTGTGTTTTGTTTTCTCACTTCTTATGTATGTGGTTTTATGGAAGGGAAGTTAATGTTACGAATGAGGAAAAAGTATAATAGTTATCACTAAGTCTTTTAATTAATTGCTTCCCAATGGCTAATACTAGTTTGGACACACAAATGTTATTACTCTTGTTTTTGCAGTTGCTTTAGATTTGTGTACCAATACCATGTTTCCAGAATGCTCGCATCAGTTCCTTGCCAAGAAACAAACTGACTTTATTGAATTCTACTTGACTGGCAACAAAAATAATTTTTTGCTGGTGTTTGAGTAACATTGAAAGTTGCAGAGGAGGGAGCTGGTGTGTGTGATTTCCTCACCCCGTTCATTTGTTCTTTGCATCACAAGGTGTATCAGGAGGCTTCTGCAGATTGGAGATAGAGAATACTATTTTTTCCTCAGCTCCTCTGCCAGGACATGGACGAGGTGTTACTGTGCCGGAAAATTTGTGTGTACGTGTCTGTTCAAGACTACGAAAAGTTCCATTCCAGCTGAACAACTAGTTACAGGTTTTGATCAAAATTGGTGCCATAGAACATAAAGCAAAGGTGTGGGTGGAGAGGGGAGCAGGATATGTATTTCAGTCTATTTTAGGTGTTGTCCTAAGAACTGACACAGTTGTGTAATTGAGTTTTGTCAAAAGACAAGAATATGCCAACAGCCCATAAATACTGTGATTAAGAACTGGGTGCTGCATATAGCTTGTAAAAGCTTATGCAAAAATGTTTATGCAAGTTAAATATAACTTCCATCAGCTTGAAAGAAATGGGAGGTAGTAGCTGGTGACATTAAGCAAACAACAAATTCCTTAATTGTTAGGATGTTTAATGTTGCGTTTATGTGCTTGGAATTATCTTTTTCTTTGGAAATACTTATATTTCTTCAAAGGGGAAAATTTTCTTCTGTGAAAAAGTAAACCTGAACTCAATGAAGCAGCATTAATATTTCAGTATGTTATAAAGGGGAGGAAAAAAAAGTTTCCGGTTTTGGTTTTTAAGTTTCTCATGGTATCTTGCCCTAAGACATGAAACATTATCCATTAGGAACATGGTCAAATATTTTGTATTTAAATCTACTACTTGGGTGTGGTTTTAAATACTAGAAGATGAATTTTCAGACAATTCCAATAATTTGTAGTACTTATACTGGGCCTTACTTGGAAAGAGCGTTAACATACCAGGATGTTGAATATTCTAATAGTCAATGGAATAACTCCTTTACCTTGCTCAGAGGCATTCTGAAATCAGGCCATTAAAATATTTCCATGTGCAAGGAAGTGAATTTTTTTTCCAGGGTGCAAAATAATGTTCTTCAAGTTCCTGAAAGCATTACAGAAAAGCGATGCATGGAGGACTCTGAAAGTTTAAAAAGCTGGTTAGTTCTCTCTGTGTTTAGATGCTCATGGTAGGCTCAGGCTAACCATAGGTGGAGAGATGACAAAACAGCACTGAGAGAAAGTAAAGACTTGCATTTCCACATGCACTTTATTTTCAGCTGCCTTGTTTTGTGTGGTTGCTTTTTCAAGGAACTCTTACTTAGGTAACAAAAGGGAAAGTGAGAATTGAATGTGAAAATTCCTTTATTTTCATAACTGCATGGGAAACAAGGTATTGCTCATTGCAGAGCGTGCATCTTACCTTCATTTACTAGTTGGTGGGAAATGCTGGAATCTTCTAGTAAAGCAGTATTTAAACTACCAGTTAGATGTTGTTGCACGTTGAGAGCTTCTGTCCTCTGAATTACTGTTCCCTGCAACTTGACGTTTTGCTGTCAGTTAAATATTTCAGTTTTCTGATTTAAAAAAACAACAACAAAAACCCCAGCAGTAAACTCGTCCCTTAAGATAAATTTGCATACGTTGCAGACATGATTTGACATGTAAAGGGACTGGTGAAAAATATGGCAGTGGTTTTATTTGTTTTGAGGGTTAAATTTCACAAAAGCTTTTTAAGTATGCATAGGCAGCTATCCACCTAGTAGAGTTGTAGAGAGCTTGGAGGGCAGTAACTATGAATAGTGGAGTAAGCATGAGTGATGTAACCTGAGAAGCAAAAGACAGAAGAGAGCTTAAGACCTAACTATGTAAAACATTGCGAATAGGTGTGGGAGGATTTTGACTTTTGATGGTAGATGTGGGGTTCTACCCATTAGTTTTGTTAAAGACAAATTAAAATAAACCCTATTTTATAAAATTTGCAAGTTCCCTTTTACCTTCTCAAAGCAGAAAGTAAACTCTTCTGTGGGTAGCTGAGCTAATGAAGGCTGATTTCTGCATCTCCCAAATCTCTTCCACAATATTCCCTCCCAGTCCGATACAGCTTCTGCAGTTCCTCCCTGTGAGACCTGTAACTTTCCAGGCATCTCCTGTTTCCTCCAGCTGATGCATTGCTCATTCCAGTCCATGGCCCTGATGTCTCCTGCAACACTGACCTCTAAATACTCCTGGATATTCCTGTCCTTTATCTTCCTTTTTTCTGCTTATCCTGCTACCTGGAAAACATGAGCATGCATTGTGGCTGCTGTAGATCTACAGAAACTTCCTGCTTTTGCCATTAGAGCACTAATTTTGATCTCCCTTCTACTCAGCCACTGATTTTAATTTCTGGAAATTAATCTCTGCAACAGCGAATCTCCTTCAAGTTTGGTTGAAGTTGGATGACTGTCTGAGTGAGACTGAGAGAAAACAGCTAAAAAAGAGGTCCTACTCTTCCTAAATTCACTCCAAATATTGTTTGAAATATTTTTAGTCTGCACATTCATGAATTGATGTGGAAATGGTATGTTTTTCTCCATTTTCTTATCTCAAGCAAACATCTACTAGTATAAGCCAATACATCATTCCATTTAACTTGTTATTTAGTACATCATAAACTATATTGAATACCCCCCAAAAAGATTTAGAAACTTCAAAAATATAACTCCGTATGGAGAATATTAAATATATATCTGTATTCCACACTTCAGTGTCCTGTCTGAAAGAAATTGAGTGTACACGGTTTTCCCCCACTCTCCTCAAGAATGAGACCTGCAGAGTGATTACCTTTTCTCTAGCCAGTGTAACAGAATTGGTACCATACGAAGAATTTTCTTCTACGTTATCTCACTGGATTTCTTCTTGTCCCTTTTATTTTGGATGGGCAGACTGGGCAGTACTCTGTTTTTCTCAATAAAAAATTATTTTACTAGTTTATCCTGATGGATGCTTGAATTATTCTATATGTGGACAGAATACTTTTTATTATCTCAAGCCCATGGAAGATTACATGTTTGGTATTAAAACTATACCTTCACATGATTGCAATCCCTGAAGATTCCCCTTTCTTGATTACATGTTACCTGTTGCCAGTCATTCCAGCTGGGCAGTTTTTTCAATTTCATGATGTTAAAACCTGATGCTTTTGTCCCAGAAGATATAATTTATTATTAATAAATACTGTGCCTCTCTCATCTCCTTGTAGCAACCTAGATATAAGTGCTGTTTCTTGTTCTTGTTCTTAGGTTGCTCAGCTTCCCATGTTGTCACAGTCTCTGTGGGATAGGTTCAGTATGAGTGAGGATGTGCCCTGTTGTTTCTTTTCTCTTGGGCTGGGGGAGCAGGTTTGTGGGGTTCTGAGGGCTTGGGGTTTTTTAATGAAAACCCATGTTCTTGTTGCAGTTTCATAAGCATCCTTCCTGAGTGTCTTCAGTGTCTCCTAGATCAAGGCAGGCATGCTTTGAAGTATAATCCAGCAGGCAAATTTATCTTTAATTTTAGATACATGATGTGTTTGTATATTAGGGTTGCCCAAGTCTCATCTCTGATGAAGAGCTGAGACACAGAAGCTGTACACCTCAGTCTTCATCATTCAAAGCTCTTAAGCTGAAATGAAAGAATTTTCAATGATGAGTGTGTTTTTATTTTAAGTGAAACTTGAATCCTCATGTTGAAAATGATATGCCCTCCATTTTACTTTGATGGTTGAATCTTGAGTTCCTAGTAAACACGAGAGTATTTAGGATACAGTACAAGTGTAGCTACACCAGCTTTGAATTGTTATTTCTACAGATGTATTCTGATATAAACACGCATTAGAACTACTTGTTTACACCTGAGCTAGCTTACTTTGAAACAGCAATACACTGAGGTAGGGTTTTGACATCTAGGAGGCAAAATTACCTGCTTTTTGAGGAGTGTAGTAGTGGAATGTCTTGGTGGGGTGCTCTGTTTTAAGGTGTTTGCTAGTACAAAAGTATGAGAAAGCTTGTGACCTTCTCCATTAGCTACCTGTTGCTGACTGTATTCTCCAAAGGGCTCTTTAATAAATCATTTTGTTCACTTGTCTTTTTAGTTAAGGCACCAGGAAATAATTATCTCTCCCAGCGCACCCTCGTAGCTTCCCAAGAGTCGTGGGTGAACTAATGGAGCAGGCAGAGGTGTGCAGGATTTCCTTCTGAGGGTTAGGGTAGTCCCAGTAGACGTTACATTTAGCCTTGAATGGCAACTTCACAGCTAGCAGTGGGATTTAATACTGCCTTCTTAATCATTGTGATTTAAATACTCTCTTCTTGTCTGTAGGTCTACATGCGTAGATGCACGTTTCTTCCCTTCAAGTTAAGACATTTTTATTCTGTTTTGCCAATACAATTATCTAAATAATATGAACGTTCATATTAAATAGAACAAGTCGCAAGGAAATGTGTGTCAGTGAAGTAGGATTCTTCCTTGAGTTCGTAATGTGAAAGGAGGTCTTGCTCCTTTCTTTTTAATGGATAAAAACATGTGCTCAGCACAGTATGTTCAGAAAACTATGTAATACCTGTTTTAACCCTGATAATTTAAATAACATACAAATATGCTAGCTAAATTTGATTTAACGTCACATTACTGTGGAAAAACTTAAACAAATTGGCTTCATGAATTTTAATTGAATTGCATAACAGTGATTGGCATAGCTACATCTATTTTGTGTTGCTTTTAACAGTTAAAGACCATTTAAGATAAAGATAAAAACTTGCGGTTGCAATCACTTTTTTTTTTAATAGGCAAAGGATAATAATCATAAGGACATAGCTATTTCCTGGAAAGATTTTATTAAATACCTTTAAATTTTTTGGATATCTGAAATGAGAATATAATCACAGCACTGCATTATTCACCAAAAATCCCCCTGATAAGTACGGTGCAAAGCTGAGGATTTTTTTCTTGTTATTTTTTATTATTTTTTTCCCTTTAAATGAGTGAGAAAACTGAAGGATTCAGTTACGTACTCGGGGTTCTCAGGAAAGCTGATAATATTCTGACCCAACCTACTATACAAGGCCCAAGTCCCCATACAGGTCAGCAAGAGCAGTTCCAGTTCTCCTGGCCTGGCATGCTCTACGCTTCTGAATATTTGACAGAACAGATGCAGAGGGCAGTGTCAGTAAGAATTTTAAGGTTTCTGCTACTTCGTCTTGGTGTATTTTGTAGCAAGCATGTTACGCAACTTTCTGGAAGTTTTGCTTTGTGGGGTTGTTTGGGGGGTTCTGTTGTTAAATTTCTAGAGTGTAGGAAGTTACTGAATTTTCAGTCCAGGGTTTTGAAGCGTACTGAAATAGATGCCTGTAAATTAGATGCAACCTTTTAGTTTTTGGTATGTAAAAATGATGAACGTTGTTTCAAAATAGTTACTCATAGGAACACGTTCTGCTTATGCTGAACATTGTAGATAAAAATACGTTCTGTAGCTTACACATAAGACACTGAAAAATTGCAAATTTAACTGTTTTGCCTTTTAGTTCTTTGAGTTCAAAACAGAAGGGATCTGTGTCCCTGGACTCTGATGTCACCAAGCCATTGGAAACTTGGGATGTTCTGTACTGCCTCTGTGTTTTGTCATCATTTAATTGGACAGTCTTTATTTTATGTAATTGCATCTTATAAGGATGTTTAACATTAAGTATGTTTACTTCCCTTATGATTATCAGCGAAGAACTTCATAGCATTCTGTTACCTCAGTATCTTTTTGACACCACTGGAAAATTGGGTTAGAAAAAAGACTGAGATTACTGAAGCATTTCTCCTTATTTTGCACAATTGCAGGGAGTCAGAAAAAACACTTTGAAATAATGTAGGCAGCGTACTGTCTGTCTTTTTTCCTCACAATTGTATTCATACTTTGGAAACATAAAAAGAGTCATCCAAAAGGGGGAGAGAGGGACAGAGGGAGAAGGGAAAACAGACACAAGTGATAGTCTTAGATTATGTCCGTAAGTAATATTTAAGATGCACACCTTACTTAGAAAAAAGCCTGCTAGGTATATTGCCCTGAGACAGAAATAGCAGGTTAACCTAATTCAGTCCCAGAATAAATGTTAAAAATTTACTTCTCTCTTAGATTAACTGTAATCAGTCAAGACCCCTCTGTTGTTAATTAAAATTAATAGATTACATTGTGATAATTCTGGACAATATGAAAACGATTCCCCCTCCCCCCCCCATTATTTTTAATAGTGTTGTTGGGGTGTACATTTATGTCTGGATGCGGGAGGTAAAATGATACATAGTTCCGTAGAGAAAGCAAAACTATTCTGCAGATACTTTGTTCCTTACCAAAAAACATATGTCTCCATCCTGTACAATAGTGCAAATAGAAAAGGAAGTTTAGCATCTGTGAGGACAAATATGAGGATCATCTGTTCGAATATGGATATTTTCAGTAAATAATGGCCAGAGTCCAAAAGGGTTAATTTCTTTATAATTCTTAGAAAAAGGGGAACAATTCCATTTCTTAAAGAGATTGCCCAGATGCCTGGCATCAAATACAGGCATTTTAATTTATTGTTATTACTTACTATGGTTTCTTGCATCGATGTTGTATAGGAAGAACATCATTAATGTTCAGCTTAGTTTCACGTATAGTGAGATCTTCTTGAATGAACCGGTGCCTTTTTGAAGAGATTATAGATCTGATTGTGAAATCAACTGTTTTGGTATTTGATGTAATATCACTTTTTTTTACTTTAAAAATTGCCTTGTGTGAAATTAACAGTGCATATATTACAGGAATGTAAAAGCTGGCTTACTGATAGATCTCTTGGTGCAGTGGTTAATAGAGGCAATGAGTGGGACCTCTTCTTGGAAAGCCTCCAGGGAACTAGTGGTTACATATATAAAATAATCTCTTAGGTTGCTGGCCCAACTCAATCTGAAACCCCTCTCTGCAAACTGGCCATGGAGTTAATACTGGGAAGGTCAGGTTACTCTTTTAAGGAGATCTGAATAACGTGTTTAAAAGTTGTACTTAAGAAATTTGTTATAGTACAGCTGAATGTGAGACAGTCTCACTGGAGTCAGAATGTAGATTGTGAAATTGGAAAAGGACTTGAAAGTCAATTAGTTCGTTGCCTTAGTATGCTGCTTTGTTGTTATGGCAAAAAGACAAGTGGAGGCTTGGATCCCTAAAATAAAAAAAGAGAAATTGAAACATAAGTAGTAAAGTGGACTTCCAACACTGGTAAGAGTGTTAATGAAATAGGCTATCTCATGCTGGTGTCTTCACTTAATGAAGGACAGGGAATTTCTGGGAAGAATTTGAAAGAAGGGCCATGGGAGTTGTACAAAGGTCAGAAGCAGGGTGTCCAAACACGATTTTCTTGCTGTATAGAGGTAGTGCTATGCGAGAAAGATACCTGAAAATGAAGGCGGGTGTGAGATTCCCTTCCTTAGCATTAGAGAAACTCTAACTGAAATCATTTGTTGGGGATGAGGAAGGCTCATTTGAGCACTGTCAGGGAAGGACACATTTATTTTTAAACAGTATTTCAATCCAGCTTCTGGAGATACAGCTTTCCAGCTGCAAATGTGTGTACTCATGGTGGCCACGCTGGCATTGGGAAGCATGAAGCCTGCTTCAATGTGCTGCAAATTACCCACTTCCTTTGCACTATGGGCTTTTATTCTTGCTTTTATTACCCTGAACATCATTATGATGTATGCAATTCTGTGTTGATACTTGAAGCCTTGAAACCTTGGAGTCCTGCGTTTGCCTGCTGGCACCAGAGAGGTGGGGAAGCACAGGGATTGACTTTTGGTTTTGCCTTTTTCCCTTTACATAGTTCGGTAGTTGTATTCTGTTACTGTTTTCAGTTCCTTTTGAAGCATTAAAGGTTGGGCAGGGTCTGAAGTGATGTTAGAAGATCCGCTTTTGTGCCAGACTATTTGATTCTTACTCACACGATCTAGATAAAATTAGCTGAAGAGCTTGCGATAAGGAGGAAACTCTTTCACTACGAACTGTTAAGCATGTTTCCATTTTCTGCTGCGCAAGGCTTTTTTGGCCTCCTTGAATTATTAGGACAGACTTGTAATCAGATCTCTGCTATTGCAGGAGTCTTGGGTGCTCAATCTTGTTTTGTTTCAAATTGTGACCTTCGGGAAAATAGTTTCATTTGAAATAACAACTTGATACTAAAGTATATGGAGCAGCACAGTGGCTTATGGTACACTGAAATGCAGGCTGAAGTATTCAACTATCCTCTCTGGCCTAAAATTCTTCAGAATACTCATTAAATGTCTGTGTTACCTGCTTGTTCCTTGCTGTACCAAACTGCTAACCCAAGTAAAAGCCCTGCTTCTGAAGTCTCTTCTGTACAGGTAGACATGAATGTGCCTGAGGAGGTGGCTTAATGGATTTAGTGGGACTCCGTGATTATGGATGTCTGTATTTTGAAAGAAATAGAAAAATTTCACCTTAGTGTGGATAATTCAAATTGGTCTAGTTTGAGTGCATTAGTATCTCGTAATGAAACCAAATATAGTTCTCTTCAATTCCATTCATTCTGGGCCTTATCTCTCTTTCTGATACATCTCACTAGTTGCCAAGCAACCTGAACAGTAGTTCTGCACATCCAGCAGCATTAAAAAAAAAAAAAAGTAAGTAGTTGTTGCTGAAAATAAGATGCCTTCTGATGACATGAATGAGGAGTTACGAGAGAAGGAAATGGGGAGTGGTGAGTTTGGAGCCGATGTTCTGAAAAAGCTCATAATATTTAGCACTTAAGCAGTGCTCTTTATTTTCCAAGCACTAATCAAGCAATTGTAAGATTATTAAATAAAGATTATTTTTTTTCCTTTCAGTTGATGAAACACCGTTGTGTTTATGCTTCATAGAGCAGAGGGCAGGATCTAGTCCCAAGAGGGCAGGAGTTAGTTTAGCGTGTATGTTTCTTTCTTTGACCTGTGTTGAGTTCCTGTGTTTCTAGTTGGACTGCAGATTAACTGGAAGGTTTTGGAAGATTTTTGTTTGTGTTTTGCTGATACATAGCCATCACTATCTGTTCTTTTCATGCTGATGTTCCTGAAGTGTGTTGAGTTACATTAAAATATTTATCACCTGGAAGGCATTCCAGGCTAGAAGTACAATAGATTGTGTGTAGGTCCTTTAACACTTGATGATGCTGTAATGCTTATAAAGCAATAAATGGAACATATTTTCGTATTCTGTCTCCTGTGCAAGATGTGATCTGAGTAGTAAAGAAACTGCCATAGCAAAGTCTATTGTAATGAAAATGAAATCTGATGGGGGAAAATTATTCTGGTGTTAGATTGTTAAATTTCTATGATAGCTTCATTTCAGTTCAAAAAGAAGATGATGTGTTACACGTAGACTGACTAAAGCAACATTATTGAAGACACATAAATTACAAAGTATCTAAATTAAGATTGCCTTAATTCGAGTTCATTTTAATTT